GACAGGCTGTATATCATATTTTGCAGAAAGGCAAGCCACTTATCGCCCTGAATGCTCTATCGGCTGTCAGACTGCCGTCTACTGTGATTAAAAGTTTATGAAATCACGCGAAACTAATTTTACACGTTCCGACATGTAGTGGGAGGGAATACGAACATTCCATTCTATCCTGATGCCTTGGTCGACAGCCATCGTCGACGATTTCGTAGCGACAAGCAGTCGTTTGTCGACTAGATGGTTAGTTTCTTCCTTGCGGTTCGCCAGCGAATGCGTGACACTGATTGAAACCAAGCAGTATTTCTGAGTACAATTCCCTTATGATTCCATGTTAGGGTGAATGGGCAGCAATAAAAGTGTTCTCCATAGGTGACTTCATGGTCAGCACGAATAGATACCGCAATAGTTCCAGCAGTAGTTACAGTCTCTTTTCTACAGAGCATTATGACCGGGGACAGATGAATCTTGTATTTTAGCATCAACCCGTCTCCCACAAATTTGGCATGTATTTCATCCGTGTTCCGCCCATTTTAATATGCTATTATCTTCCTTCGCATATTCTCACCTACTCCTCCCCTCCCTTTATACGTGCTGTAATTAGTTGGCCGTAATTATGATCCGAGTAGTAAATATAGTGCTTTACTGTGTAGAACTTATTTATCAAACATTTACAACTATGACAGTCGACCGTCAGATCTGACAATGGTCAACGCGTGCTTCAGCAAACTGAAGACGAACGCAATGACTTGCGCATGCCATAGTAGAATTTTGCTGCATCTACCACACTCTATCGTCCCTCACCCACCTGTGTCCGATATCCTGGCAGAAGCAAGAAGATCGGAGGCGGAGTTGGGCGCAGGTGGTACACACCCCAGCTTTATAGCCTGGCGCGGCGCGAGCCTGCACCCACGCATGCCACCACGCTCCTTAGTCAACAACAAACGTCCGACAAAGGTTTTAGCGCAACAGCAAAAGGATGGAAGCGGTACTGTGTAACCCAGCTCACACAGCCTTGGCCTCCGCGTCAAACACCTTAACATACAGCACCTAGTCAAAACCTACACTTGACCAGAATTTTAATACAACAAGGGGATAGGGGGCGGGGGTGGATAGCTCGGATTCCAACGCTCACAGCTTGGGCCTGTGGTCCACCACACCCCTCATAAATCATTTGGGCATAGCCTACTCTTGACCAGTATTTGCATATGTCATTATGAGTGTGGCACACATTTCGCATGCAGTTGAGAAGCCACATGGAGAGGAGCCCGAGAACACACTTCTCAATTACGCGAGAGGTGCCGATGTTGGGTGGTGGTGATGATAGTGTGTATGCGTGCTTCGTGCGTCTATGGGGAGACTTTATGATGAACTAGACGAATTTGGAGAGATTTACCCCAGATTTTCGCGACGGCGTATGTGGCCTAATAGGCAAATGCGGTGCATGCGTGTGCGTGGAAAGTGCGGACAGTCGAAACGGATGCGAGCTCAATGCGATGGATCCGCAAATGCCCGAGCAGGCCGCTGCGTGATGTGTATGTGCGTACCAAACTTGTCAATAGGGTATTCAAATGCATTGCCTATTATCCTCACCAAATAGACTGAAAACCGATAGAACTGATGGCCACCTCAGTAGTTGACGTATGCAGGCCCCAACGCGTGTGTCTGCGGCTACAGTCCGCGTCCTGCTCTTCCTGAACGACTGTGTCTTCAACGTCGCGACGGAAGAGGAGATAAAAAGGAGAATGGACCTCTTCGTCAACGGCTGCCCAATTCAGGACTAACAATCAACACGGACAAAACGGTTATGCGCCAACCGTCAGCCAGCATGGAATACAATGCTCCTCAACTCAGTGTCAAGCTCCCAATTCAAAACTGGAGCCGATTTCCCTTGTCTTGGAAGTACACTGTCATGCAGCGCGATAATCAGTGACGAAGCTGTCCAACGGATCTCCAAAGCCGGCCAGAATTTCGGTCGACTGCAAATCTCCATGTAAAATTGCCGTGACCATCATTTGAATATCAAACTGAAGATAAACAAGGCCGTCGTAATGCAGATTCCAGGGCGCTCATCACTCTAGGCGTCCATCAGCATGGTAGGGAACATGAGACTGAGGATGGGACGAAGCACGCAACCCTGTTTTATTAAGTTGGTCATTCTGAAAGTCTCGGATACCGACCATTTGTCAGTGACGCACACTATCATCTCATCGTGGACCTGAGGCCCGATTTGCGTGAAACTCTCGGGATAGCCGAATTTCTGCATGATTTTCCTCAGTTTACCACAATTCCGCGTATCGATGGTATTTGCCAGATAGATGAAGATAGTTTCGAGGGGAGTCCGCATTTCCTGGCACGTCTGTTGTAATTGGCGAGCGGCGAAGATCATGTCGGTCGTTCCGCGGTATCGTCGGAAGTCGCAGTGGATTGCTGGGAGCAGTCCCTGCTCTAGTTAGTCGTTCAGACGATTAAGAAGAAGTTGAGTAAAGATCTACCTGGTTATGGTGAGCAAGAAGATGTCTCTGTTGTTATCCCAGGGTTGTGAGTTCCCTTTCCACTCCTAGAGATAGACAATTATGGCGTCCTTGAAAGCCTGAGGGACCTGTCCTTGAAACCACTCCTCTTGGACGAGTGTTGTGAGTTGTCCAATTATTCGTTGGTCATCATGTTTGTAGATTTCAGCTGGGATCGCACTGGAGTCTGGTTCTTTCCAACTGAAGAGTTCTTGCACGACGCGAGTAGTTTCTGAAAGGGAGAATGGGAGATCTGAATCAATGTTTATTTCCACTTGGGGGAGCCGGTCGATATTGGCATCGGAAATATTTGATGGAAGGTAGACATTTCTGAAGTGCTCGGCCCGACACTTCAGAATTGGCAACTTCTCTGTAAAAAGGGTTGTTCCGCCGAGGCGGTACCTTTGGTTGTGGGCCATAGCTGGCCTTAACCGCTGCGAAGACGTTCTTTGATTCGTTACGGTCTGCATACGCCCGGATTTTCTCAGCTTTGCAAACCACCCAGGCGTCCTGCACTTCCCGTAACCGTTGATACACAAGGCGCCCACTTTGTTTGCATCGGTCGGGCGGCCTGTTCCTTTCTGTGAGCAGGTTGCCAATAGGTATGTCGTCTTCGTCAAGCCAATCGTGGTGTTGACGACGTGCGTGTCTGAGGACGTCTCGGACGGCCGAATGGACAGCGTTTTCATCTAGAGCTTGCAGGCCTCCTAGTCTAAGGGTGATTCATTGCCGAACTGGAGACAGTGAGCAAACAAACTGAACAGAGGGGTGTTTAACTTACCTAGTGTTCGCTTACCTTATGCTCCCCTGTGAGTTTGCATTTGGAGCTTCGTCCTGAATAAGACAGGGCGATGATCCATCCAGCACTCGGCATCTTGGAATGCTTTGGTCCCCA